GAGGAAAAGCCTCTACATGTCCAGTTTAGATCTGCACAAATAACAAATCATCTGTCCAGCAGTGAATCCCAACACTGTTATAAAAAAAAATCTGTGTCCAAATGAAAATGCAAAAACACAATTGAATGGTATCACTGTCCGCTACTGTATCCAGAGACTCGTTGTTTATTATTATGTGGCATCATCTTTTATTTTTTCATATTACTTTATTGGCCTTGAGTTTAGTGTTTCAAGGTTAAGAGGTTAGGAAGATATTCACAAATGCTTTTCATTTATTTGCAAATTAATTTAATGTATTCACAGTTTTTTTTTTTATTTGTGGAATGTGTTTGTGTATTTGCAGATCTGTTTTATACTTGCAAAATATTTTTGTGAGTTTACAAATCTTTTTTTGTATTTGTGGAAGGTGTTTTATATTTACAGATTACACATTTACAGTTTTCCTGTGATTTGAGGTCGTCTGATACCAGCCAGCTGTAATTTCTTTTCCTCACGTTTCAAAACACCCAAGCTCGCAAAACATCACCCACCAGCAGGAGCATTTATTGGTCCAGTGCAGCACAGTGCATTTTGTAGGTTTTCTACCTTTTGGGCAAAAGCAAATACCACAGCCCTTTTTCTCTGTGTTCTGTAGCACCAATTTCAAAAGTATTTATGTCTTTCTACTGCATAGAAAACCGAGTTTTATAAAAATACTTTTTAAATAACCAGTCCACTTTATCATGTCTGCAGGGTAGCAGCAGCCAATTGATGGAGTCCATTGTCTTGATGAAGGTCTCAGATGAGCTGACGGCAGTGCAAAAGACATTGACTCTGCTCCTAGACAGTAGGAAGGAAGAAGGGAAGCCTGGCTACTGGACCAGAGTGACTAAAACCATCAACAAATGTTTCTTCATTTTCTACATCACATCAGGAAGTGTGTTTTTAGTTCTTATATTTTCAATATGGACCAATGCAGATTACAAGTAGTGCTCAAGTTTAAAAACGCAATTTGGCCATTTTTTTCATTTAACATTGACACTAACACATCTGTACTCTGTGTTCACACCTATACTTCAGTTCCACTGGTCTGGGCCAAAGAAAACAATGACCTACTGTTGCTCAATACAGATCGCTGAGGGTTCACACTGACTTGTTACGAACCAAATATGTGGACCCACAGTGGAAAATCTAAAATAATTTATTTCTGACGACTGACTGCTGCAGTTCATAGTCTTCATTACAAAGCCTTTGCAACCAAAATATGTATATTGTTATTAATAATTAATGTTAGCTTACACGAGGCAGACACTGTGCATTGTTATTTATCTTTGACACTGAAAGCAGTCACACTGAATGTATTAGCAGAGCTCCCACTCACTTTGTCCAGCGACAATTCCAATCAAGTTTTTTCATCAATATGCCCACATCTTCAACAATGTTGGCAACAAAAAGAAAATAAAAGAGAGAGAGAAAGTCAGCATCACACTGGGCAATTGTACTATGAACAGATTTTGGTCTGTTCTGAATTAAAGTTAGGGCTGGGCGACATTTTTAACCAAATACATCAATATCGTTATTGGGATGGTATTGTAGAGTTCGCTATTACTACATTCTCAAACTGGATAAAGGCAAATAACAAAAAGGCTGCAAGAGTCTGGCATTTTCAGAAGATTATATCACTTTAATGCAGTCTTTAAAACCAGGAAAAGTCAGTGCTTACAATATTATGATATCCAAAATCGAAGGCGATATCTGGTGTCATATCACCATATTGATATATTATCATATATTATCAGTGTATTATCCAGCCCTAACTGAAATTCTGACATATGTAGTCTTTTAGTAATTCTGCATGTTTTACACACTGCTACACATCTAACACATATACTCTGTATTAACCTTTGACACCAATGTGGTGGTGCTTTAGTAATATACATGCCTTTAATGTGTATTGTGCACAATTATGCTGTTCAGTGAGTCGATCAAATACATAGTAAAATATATTAAAATTTAAATGTAGCTCTTTAAAAATCAAGTTCTCCTCTGTGAAAATACAATGTGGTTAGATGTCTGCTGTTTAAGTGCTTTTGGTTTTGTTTCTTACTGATACATTATACTAAGCATACTATACACCAAGTCTTAATTTTCTAAGGACCAGTAAATGTGTTTTTTCTTCCATAGTTTGAGTCATTTCATATTGTCTTTTATGGGATTTTTCAAATCTGCATCTGCATTTAAGCTACATTATATATTCACATTGTAGAATAAAAGACTTGTCATCTGTAAACATGTATCATGACTTTTCATACCGCTGAAATAAACATATAGACAAACTTTGTGTGTGTGTGTGTGTGTGTGTGTTAAAGGTAAGTGACATCTTTTTAAAGCAATTAGAGGTACCCCAACTTTTTGGCAGGGAGCACAGCAGGACTTGTTGGCTTGTTTGTCAGCTTGGTGTCCCTGCCTGGCTCTGTTTGTTTCCTTCCATTGATATGTTATGAAAAAATCTTCCCTGTTGTATCTTAAAACAGAGAGGTAGAATACAGATGGTTGAACACTTAGAGTTGGCAGATAGATATAACCTGTTGTGTTGCAATCCTGTCACTGTGGTGTTTGGTTTCCACTGATGTCCCCATTGCATCCAAGTGGTAAAAAAGAGGACTACTTTCATGAAGTGGAATTTCAGCAGCGCAGTTCACCTTAAATTCATTGCTTTTTTTGGATCAAGAATACCCCACTAATTGATAAAAATCACAAATGAAGAGGCAGTTCAGTTATTGGACATTGTCACATTTGTGCAGCAGCATTCAAAGCAACTTTCAAAAACTTGTAAAAAGAAAAAAATAATATTGCCATTTCAGTTTTCCCAGGCCAGCATCCACTAGAGCATTTATATGTCATGGAAAAAGTGATGAAGGCTTTAAAAAAAAAAAAAAAAAAAAAAAGTATGAACTAGGTAAGACAGATTAACAGTTCAACACAATGTGCATGTGCAAATCAGGGTCAGAAAGATTCTATGTGGGCATCAGAGATTATGACAGCAATCAAGAAGGCTCTTTCAGATGTGAACAGTATACCTATGATAGTGTGAAACATTTATTTGAAAATTTAGGTATAAATCGACCTAATTGCCACATTGATACCATCAGGCCTGGAGCTGTATACAACAAATTAAATTTGGGACAAACTGGACAAGGTACCCTGAATTTATATGAACTTTTTGTTTTATGGCAACCATCAATTAATGTAAACTCACAATCTTCACACATAACCACCATCAAGGTGTTGTGATTTACCAAACCAAATTTTAGGTGGATGTGGTCACTTCTCTGAAAGGTGCACATCAAAGTAAAAAAAAAACATGTCATTTGCTGTTGCCAGTAATTGGTGTTATAACCATAACTCCATTCTGGCATGCAGATGTCATGAGGCAAGGACTGTCACGGAGCATGACCAATTTGGGGCAGATCGGACAATGTATGCTCAAGTTATGACAACTTCCTGTTTTATGTTGAAACAGCAAAATGGCCACCGTGTCTCAGTACCGCCATCTGATGAAAACTCAGAAAGTATCATCAACGTCTTGAGACTTTTCTAAGGCAAATTTGAGGTTGATCTGGTCAACCTGCTGGGAGAAGTAAATGAAAGCATAAAACATGTTGTTTCCCATTGTCAGTAGGGGGCACTATAACTAACTAATTACTGGCATGTTGATGTGTTCAAGGTGGGACTGCCATCAAACATGTTAGGTTTGGGGCAGATTGGACCATGTATGCTGGAGTTACAAACCACTTCCTGTTTGGTGTCGAAACATGGAAATTTGACGCCTCGCCATGGTCACACAGTTTGATGAAAACTCATGCTCTGGGTAACCTTTCATGTCAAAGGTCTTTAGATGGTACAGGCCAAATTTAAAGTCAATCAGATCAAATCTTTAGGAGGAGTTTGTTAAAGTACAATGCCAGGAAATGGCTAAAAATGCACAAAAAAAGAAACATTTAATTAAAAATAGCTGACTTCCTGCTGGGTTTAGGGTATGGCTCCAAGAGATTTTTTTTGTACTTCTTGGGATGTTACCTGTGCCTGTCGAGTTTTGTACTTGGAGGTAAAACCAGCATTAGGATCTGTTTTGTAGAAATATAATATGGGGTGCTACCGAGCCATTTTTTTGCACCTGAGCATGAGTCCCATTAAATATCAAACCTTCACCAGATGTGGTGTGTGTGCATAGTTCATGGGTTTTTGAGCACCTTTAGCCCCTCAAAAATGAGATTCATTTATAGGAAGAAGATGATGAAGAAGAAGAATTTCTTGCATTACAATAGGGTCCTTGCACCATTTTGTGCTCGGGCCCTAATAATTAAATATGATAGCCATGAAATAAACCCTTAGTATTGCTGATTTTTTTTCCCCAAAGACTGTTTGTATGTGGGGAAAAATACCTCCAGAACCAGGGTCTCCCTCCACTTGGCAATGGGTCCATGTCATTGGTTCGACAGCCCATTGGTTCGACATCCCATTAGTCCGACTGTCCGAGGTGCTGAACGGCTCACAGCGGGCATATGGTGCGCCGCGACCAGCTTGAGGCGGAGCAGGCTCACGGCTTATGTGTTTGTCACTTTCTTTTTCATTTTAACCCACACCATGATCTTTTCCTGACCCTAACCAAGTGGTTTTTGTGCCTAAACCTAACCAGACCTTAACCACAGGGCATCATGATGATTTCGGAATGAACTTCAGAACGATGAGTTTAATATGGTCGGAACAATGGGATGTCGAACCAATGGGCTGTCGAACTAATGGGCAGTTCCCCTTGGCAACTCTGAACTGTGAAGATGATGATGTGTAGTGGTTAGAGAGGGCAATAAATGAACTGTGCCCTGGAGGGAATGGGAAAGCTTGTTACAGTAAGTAGTCACTTCTGAGAATAATTATATATTTTTTGTGACATAAGGCTCCTTTTAGACGCAGCTCATCCACTGAACTACTTAACTTGGGGAACTAAAAAGCCACAACAGTGGAAGCAAAAAGTAAAAAGCTTTTGGATTGAAAGAAAAATTGATTTGCCCACATGCGGCTAAGTGTCGAGGGTGTTGGCAGTTCCTCTCTTATATAACACGGTAATATTATTACTGCGACACACATTTCCAGTCAACACAGAGAAGACAGGGATGCTCACTGACTGTGCAGACCTCTCACAGTCATGAAGCTTGCAGGTTTTCTCCTTCTGTTCCTCCTCACAGGTAAGCTGGAACAATTCTATATAATGCATGCAGCTGTGACATTTTTGTTGTCACCCAAATTCCATGGAGGTGAATGGAGCTTTGTTATACAGCATAAAAAAATTAACTGCAAATAATAATACTGCAAGCAATATCTCTTTCCAAAAGCTGTTCACAGTGTGATATGTGAATAATCCAAAGTCATGGGGTGACTGTTGTTGCAAAGAAATGTTGCTGGTAAATATTTTTCATTTTTTGTTTATTAAATCTAAAGAGCTGTATACTGTCTTTTTAGATAGAAGTACCTACAGTCACTCAGAGAAACCAGAGCTCCTTGATGATCAACAGAAGTCAAATCACAGCTTTGGGGGAGGTAAGTACAGAAAATAAATACTAATGTGAATTAATAATAATGTGAATATTCATATTTGTAGCAGTTATTAAAGAATCTCAAAACAAATTAAATCCTCACTTACAAAACTATCTGCAGATGCACATAATCATGCTGTGTATTAAGGCAGGAGATGTGTGTTCATAAAAATAATTTAGTTTACATAGTTTACTCTTTTCTTTCAGATGGAAGTACCTCCAATTGCTCAGAGAAAGTAGAGCTTGATTATCAACAGAAGTCAGATCAGAGCTTTGAGGGAGGTACGTACAGAAAATAAACACTCCAAATATACACAGTAATTAAATATGTGAACATTTATATTTGTATCAGTTATTAAGGAATCTTAAAGCCAAGATAAGATAAGACCTGTATACTCTTTTCTGTTAGGTGGAAATACCTCAGATAACTCATATGTTTATGATGACGATACGGACCACAACAAAGGTATGTTCGGGTAAAAAACAATCCAAAAGTGTACAGTAATTGTGTTAATATTTATTCTCATAGCCTTAATTATACACATCTGACTCTGATTATGAAGGCAACAACGAAGGTATGTAAAGGTAACAAACAATCTAAAAGTGTACAGTAATTGTTGTGTTTATATTTGTTCTTGTAGCCTTAATTTTGGAAATCTTGACACTTAAGACACACTTAAAGTTTAAGCAGTTTTGTGTGTAACAGTAAAACAGTAAACTAAAAGATATGTTACTGGTGTGAACAGTGAATAGAAAACAGATGTGGTCTGTTGTGAATGCTTGAGGATTGGCCTGGGCTGATGTTGGATGCATTAGGACTATGTGTAGCAGATGGATCTGAAATGGAGAGCCCTGTGTAAACTTTAATTAGGCCTTAATCACCTACAGTATTCAACATGGGAGGGAGGGTCATTTTTATGACATACTATCAACTTCGACTGTAATATACTACATAACACTCATATCACATTCTAGTTTTTGACTTTATAGCCTAATACATTAGAAAGTAATCAAATAGAGACAAGTGTGGTGTCTGGCATTAATTTTACCCAGAGCAGTGGAGCAATGGCTTCTGCTGCACAAACCACACACAGATGCTTGATGCTTGTAAAGACATGATGACAAGCTGTAAACCTTTTTCAAACACACAGTCAGTAACTCATATGTTTATAACGACTATTCAGACAACAACAAAGGTATGTAGGCTACATATAATAACAATCCAGATGTGTACAGTAATTGTTTGTGTTAATATTTATTCCTGTAGCCTTAATTATGCAAATCTTGAAACTTAAAGGGAGAATGCACCCAAAAATGAAAATTCAGCCATTATCTACTCACCCATATGACGAGGGAGGCTCAGGTGAAGTTTTAGAGTCCTCACATCCCTTGCGGAGATCCCAGGGGAGAGTGGGTAGTGGCACAACTCCACCTAATGCAGGCTGATGGCGCCCAAGATTCAAACATCCAAAAAAACACATCATTGAAACCACAAAGTATCTCCATACTGCTCGTCCGTAGTGATGCAAGTGTCCTGAAGCTTCGACATAAAAAGTTGTTTGGAAAAACATCATTTGAACTCTAACTGCCTCTCTGTACACCACGCTCACGTGTGTGCGCTTGTGCGAGACCATGAGACTTGGGCACCGCCTTCATGTATGTTCACGTGCTTTCGCTGGTGTCGGTGCACAGAGAGGCAGTCAGAGCTACAGGCTACATTGAGGCTAAAAACAGAGTTCAAATGATGTTTTTCCAAACAACTTTTTATGTCGGAGCTTCAGGACACTTAGATCACTACGGACGAGCAGTATGGAAATATTTTGTGGTTTGAATTATGTGTTTTTGGACGTTTGAATCTGGGGCACTGTCAGCCTGCATTAGGTGGAGTTTTGTTGCTACCCCCTCTCCCCTGGGATCTCCGCAAGGGATGTGAGGACTCTAAAACTTCACCTGTGCCTCCCTTGGCATATGGGTGAGTAGATAATGGCTGAATTTTCCTTTTTGGATGCACTTTCCCTTTAAGAATATCCTCTTTCTAACAGTGTATGAAATTTAATTTTCTTTGTTTTTGTTTTTTTTTTCCTATGAAGATGCTGTAGATAAGGTGAACTGCAGTTATCAGATTTTGTTTAACCACCTGAACCTGACCAAAAACATGGAGCTGTACACTATGGTCCGACCTGACTTCAATGAGATTACATACATACACCTTCAAATGTCACTCTATAGTATCTTTGATGTGGTAAGTTTTTAATGCCATGCTATCACAAATTGTCGGTTACTGTTTGTAACCAAGCTTGTCAGCAAAAGTGAAAGTAAAATCCAACCCCGAATGACGCATAGTGCGTCCAAATTCACACCTGTTCTTCTCTATGGATTTTCTCTGCAACCTTTCGTCATAGCGAGAAGCCACGCATATCACATGAAACAGCGGAATCGTAGCTTTTCGAGAAGACCAAGCACTTGTCAATAGTCTAATGTTTTCACAGCGAAAAGAAATGATAAATTTACACTAAAAAGATGTATAACAGAGCTTTCATACAGCTTTGCACACACATTACTCTTAAATGGATTACTCGCGAATGCAGGCTCGCACAGAAATGCCACGCATATCACATGAAAGCGCAGGAGCAGAGCTTTCCAGTGATACCACACACATGTGCTGTCATCCCATCACGCTATAAATACAGATCAAGTGTCTACAAAATAAAAACCTGATGAATTTCATCAAACTTTGTATGACAAGACAAGCACACTTCACCTTTGCGGGCAGCCTAATTATGCATGCTGACAGGGCAGTAGTCACCATATACACTGAGGGGGACACGTGCCCCCCCCCCCCCAACCAATGCCCAAAATGTCCCCCCAATATATAACTGAAACTGAAAAACAAATATTATCTTGGAGGACATCATTGCACTTGGTTGACTATTTTTCTATTATCTTAGATGTAAATATTGCATGTTTCTTTCAGATAAAACACATTTTTGACTTGTGAATGAGTCAATGGAATTTCTTGCAATAATGAAAAAATACTGGCAATCATGTCCGCCTGGCACAAACCACATGTTTTGGACAACTGTGTAGTGACAGAATGTCCCACCATCATGGTTCTTATATTGCCAGATTCCAGAGAGTCTCCCCTCTTCATATATGGCAGAATATGTCATTTTCCAACTTGCTATAGTGAGATACATGTCAAAATGTAAGAATTTAGTAACACGGATTTGTTTTTTTCATTGATATAAAAAATAATATAAAATACAGGCACATAGGAGGACATGTAATGATGGAAAATCTGGTTAGCCCAGATTCTCCTGAAAAAAAACAAGATATAGCATGTGTATGTAGTCTTTATAATGACTGTGATATGAGCTTAAAAGTAAAGGCAGTAAAAATACCCCAAAAAGGCCTATGGCCCATAAGGTTAATTGCATTTTGCCAGTAAAGAACCTAAAATTAGCGCGTTGACCGGGGTGTTGTGTTTCCATCAATGCTGATCAGTGCCAGAGCTGGTAAACACCCGTGACTATAACAGAGACATTTGACCGTAACCTTTTCCATTACATTAAAAAGCCAGATATTAGCAGGTGTTAGCAGATTTTTTGTGCAGTAAAAAAGGGACTTATGAGTCTTGTAGATGCTAAGCCAATGCTTTAAGCCACTGAGATGCTGCACTGGGATGACTTAATTGAAATGCTTGATTGTTATCGTGTCTGATGAATCAAAGTCTGAGTCAAACTTGCCAGTTGAACACTCTATTCATTTATTTTCCATCACAAACTTGTCAGTGTCCAATAAACTCAAACATGTTTTCAATAATACTCAAAAACATCCACACATGTAACTCCCTCAGCAACAAGCTGCTTCAGTGGTCAAAAACTGTTTTTCTTTCCAGGTGGAACATTTGATCATACAAAGAACGGTTCCTACCATATAAAGTGATGACCTGATACCTAATAGAACATATACACCAAACAAAAAATAATTATAATGATGCATGCATATTCTGCTCCTACATGTCTAATCCTGCATAGTATATTTTTAATGATAATGATTATTTCCTCTGCCAAGAAGGGTATATTTTGTTCACTGACCTGTTCAAAGAGTTTATAACATTCCGTATAAATGTAGCCATGTGAGGCCAAAATGAATGAGCAATTCTTTTGTACTGATGATTCTGAAATTTCAATTTGTACTTCGTTGTACTAGCATGTACTGTCTCCTGGAAATAGCCATATGCTAGCACTGTAATGTCTGACACTCTGCTCAGTATTGTGTAAAGTGTACCTTTTCTCTATTTTTGCTCGAGTCAATTCTTTTTGTTGCTGATCCTGCCCCACTATCAGCCATAACCCCCGAAAATATAACATTAAAAATTAAAATTCTCTAAAGAGAAATCTTCTTCTGTTTCATTTTAACTGGCTAATGTACTCACTGCAAAATGTTGTTTGGTAAAATGTGAGCATAGGCTCTTCCAGTCTGCATGCCATAAATCATTTCTTTTGATTTCACAGGGATCGTCAGACTGGGGGAAAGCATTAAGAATAATTTTGTAGAAATAGCCAATCTTCTGGCGGCACGGTGGTGTGGTGGTTAGCACTGTCGCCTCACAGTAAGTGGGCTCCTGGTTTGATCCGGGGTGTGGGAGCCCTTCTGTGCGGAGTTTGCATGTTCTCCCCATGTCAGCGTGGGTTTTCTCTGGGTACTCCGGCTTCCTCCCACAGTCCAAAGACATGCAGGTTAATTGGTGACTCTAAATTGTCCGTAGGTGTTAATGTGAGTGTGAATGGTTGTCTGCGATAATCTGGCAACCTCGTCCAGGGTGTACCCTGCCTCTAGCCCAATGTCAGCTGGGATAAGCTCCAGCCCCCCCACGACCCTCAAGAGGATAAGCGGTTAGAAAATGGATGGATGGATGGATAGCCAATCTTCTTGCTGATGGTGTCGTTTTCTTATGTGGATCATACAGTGGCATCAGTATTTAACTGAAATTGTTTCAATGCTGGTTAAAAAAAACTCCTTGTAGCTGTATTTAAAACTTGCATAGTGCTACAGTGGCATGCAAAAGATTGGGCACCCCAAGATATTTGCACTCTCAGACAACTTTTACCAGGGTCTCACACAATAATTAGCTTATTACGGCTCTGGCTTGGTAACAATCATCGTTAAGAAAGATATGGTGACGCGAATTTCAAAGCTTTACTCTGACTCCTGAAACCTTGTCCCAACAATCGGCAGCCATGGGCTCTACTAAACAGCTGCGTACAACTCTGGAAACTAAAATAATTGATGTCCACAAAGCAGGAGAAGCCTGTAAGAAGATAGCAAAGTGTTTTTAAGGTAGTCATTTCCTCAATTCGTAATGTAATTTAAGAAATGGCAGTTAATAGGGACTGTAGAGTTCAAGTTGAGGTCTGCAGACCAAGAAACCATCCAGATAGAGATGCTCATAGGATTGCTAAGAAAGGCAAATCAAAACCCCCATTTGACTGTAAAAAAAGACCTGCAGGAAGATTTAGCAGACTCTGGATTGGTAAAGCACTGTTCTACTGTGCAGTGACACCTATACAAATATGACCTTCATTGAAGAGTCATCAGGAGAAAACAATCTGCTCTTTCAATCTGCATGCCATAAATCAGTTTGTTTCATTTTGCATGGGATAATCAGACCAGTAAAGGCAACAGGAATAATTTTGTAGAAATAGCCAATCTTCTTGCTGATGGTCGCGTTTTCTTATGTGGATCAGATAGTGGCATCAGTATTCAATTGAAACTGTTTCATTGCTGGATAAAATCTCCTTATAGCTGTATTAAAAACTTACATAGTGCTATTTTTAGTGCCAGTTCTGCTGTGTATATGGCCAGAATGTAACTGTGCTGCTAGAAAGATTTTCACACATACTATATTTCTTTGCTCATAGAGAGAGATCGACCAGACTTTCATTTCTTACGTGTGGATTTATATGGTGAGTTCTTTCTTTTTTTATTATCACCTGTTCATAATTAATGGAATTTTTTTTTTTTTTTTTGCTTTTAAATCACATCTTTTCACTCTCTTTCTCTTTCCCTCATTCTTCCTTATTTCCTGATCCCCTCTTTCCCTTTTTTCCTATATAGGGCTGGGGCAATAAATACATTGGGTGGCATCCATCTAACTTTTGTGGACTTGAAAAAGTAGTAGTTCCTAAAGAATTATTGTGGAGGCCAGATATAACTATTGAAGAGATGTAAGTTTTAGCATGTTCTCACACTCACAACAGTACAGCACCACTTAACTGTTCAGAAATGAGTCTGAGTCTGAAACATTTGGATGCCAAAACATAAACACAACAGGTTTTTAAACATGTTGACTATATGCAGTATTCATTACATGTTGTATATTTACTGTTTGATGACGTCTGAAAGTCTGAATCAATCAAATGCATCCCCTTAAACTTCTTTTGTGCTAACAAACTGTTGTCACCTACAGATCCTAGTGGATATGCCAAAGTTTGAATACTTGGTAACAGTTTACAATATAGCCTAGAAATTACAGTGTAAATATCATGTACAGCGATACCCAGTTAAACCCTTACTGGGTACATATTTTGTGGAGGTCAGGGATTAAGGGGTTACAACTTTGGTGGGGAACCTAAATTAAGATGTAAGTTCTTTTTTAATCTAAAAGTTAAATGGTACTTAAATATTGCTGCTAGAAGATAAAAACGGTAACTATGCTGATAATGCAATAAATGTTTTAGCCATGCAAGCGGCATGGCTCTATGGATAGCAATGAAAACTTTACAAAAGCATGCACATCCAGACGATAAACATGAGGTGCTGGACAAGACTTAGTGCAAGAGACAAAAAAGCAAAGTCTACACACTAGACTATGCTTCCATAAATATTTAATTGAATTACCACTGAGGTTGCATTTCAAGCTTCACACTCTTCATCAGACAAAATACAATGTAGAGGCTGTTGTGGGCAAATTGTCCCAGCCTGAACCAAAAAAAATTGACTGGTACGCTGATCAGTACTTTGTGAAAACCACTTTTAGCAGAGTCACTGGAGTCTCAAAGCACTCTGAAGAAAAACACTTGAAGCTTAGCAGAATCTGATGCAAAAGAGTTAATTTGTGCACCAAGCAGTAACAGACATAAACTCATGGGTCTGTTCTGGAAGCAGACTGAGCCAGAGACAGTGTGCACCATCCTATATACCAGGGAGTTCCTCCTCTCTCCAACAGCGCCTCCCTCAAGTTTTAACCAATCACATGCTTGGAAATATTGAGTCACATGATGACGTTTTTCTCTTTTTTCATACACGCATTAGCTCATAGTCTTAAACAATGGTGTCACATGGCCTGATCTCATCTTGGAGATTCAGGTACACACCTTCTAATACCTACTAGACCAGGTCACCTGACAGAGCCCCGACTGGTCACTTGGTCCCAGTCAGCTCCCTTCCTTAAATACATACATGCATACTAGACAGAAGCATGTCCACCTTATTCCAAGTACCCATGATACCTTGTGTGAATTATGGGCATGACTTCCAGGACTGAACTGGAACCAGTGTTTTCCAGTGGTAACAGTATGCTATTCCTCTTCTCCAGAGCGAAACAAAATTGTGCCCACCTCTATCCAAATACAGATACAGAGACAGATCATTTTGTTGGTTAAACACATACAGATACAGATAATGACGTCTCTGTGCACCTAGACAATCTGTCTGAGGCAGGTGTTTGGCACTGGTTGTTGCTGTTCTGATAGTGATTGGAGATATGGGGGTAGCCTTATCATCTTCTGCACATGATCCTGTTAAAAGCTGGAGAAGTTGAGAATGTCATCCACATGGACAAAAACATAAGTATTAAGTAGGTCTCTGAAGATGTCATTAGCCAGTGCTTGAAAAACAGCAGACGTGTTGGTTAGAGCAGAGGGCTTTTTCAAAGACTGGTAGGCCTGTCATTTTACTAAAATTTTGTCCTTATCTTTTCTTCATTTCAAAGTACTGATGTTTTCCCTATAATTCAGCTTCCAGCTTTTCAAACAGCAAAGCATATCAGCTGTCAGAAACCATGCATGTTCTGCAGGAAGTGCATTTTCCAGGGGTTTCTATTGTAGAGGCAAAATCGGTGCCTAGAAGTGGGCCTGTAGACTCCCGACCTTGTTCTCCACTTGACTTCTCAGTTGCCCTTTGATGTCGATCTGGTACCTTGGATTCAGCTAAGTAGTACTCAAAGAAACACTGGAGACAGGCAGAGTCCGATGCAATCAAGTTTAATGTGTTCACAAGCTTCAACACATACAACTCATCGAGTCAAGCTCCGGAGCAGGACTGAAAATCTACTCACAAAGCATCTGTTTTTATGCTGGTGGAGACTGGAGAGAGTCTCCACCTCCTTCTGCTAATCCATCCTACTTCAATGCAAAACTATTGGTGGCAACCTTTTTCTTTTTGTCCAATCGTGAACAGGCCTGATTTTAATGGTGTATCACTTTCAATTTGAGCCTGGAAGTTCCCAAATTTTCCACCCTTAGCTTCAGATTTGCTTTCACTTTATTTTTAAAAAACATGTGAATTTTAGGGACTTTCTTTATGCAGCCCCTTGTGCTCTCATGTGCTCTCATGCAGTATAAACATTTAATGTGCATCAGGTAATACAAACATTTGAGTGTATGTGTGTGTTATCATTATACAAAACATGATAGGTTATATGTGTGTTCTTTTAGTATGGATACAATATCAGCTCATAACTCTGTATTGTGAATACTTTGACATGTATAACAATGACTTAACACATATAGGTGCATCTCAATCAGTTTTATAGGCCCTTATACATAAAACATGGTTATATGATGATTATCTGGCTTTTGTTCCTTAATCAGCATGATCTGGAATTAACTCTTTACACTACATTATTTAACATGTATTGGTGTTTACTGTGTAATTTAATCCAAGGTCCTTCCTAAATATACATTTGTCAACATCTTAATCCCTGTACTATAACTTTTCCGTGACCTACCAGTAGATACCCAGCAAGTGCAGTAATTCATTAACACATGCAGAAATGTGATATAGTCATGCTGTGAGGATAGTGCTTACTATATAGAAAGACACAGTGGTAGATTGGTGGAAAATAAAGTTTTAAGTCTAAGATAGTTAATTGTTTCATATTGCAGGCTGTGTAGATTCATGTTTTATAGTATAATATATCATACTGTGTGAAATTCAGTGTGAAGCTGAATGCTTTTGCCATAATATCTGCATTTGTTTTCATACAGGACAGAGAAAGACAAGTCCCCCCCGACTCCTTTTCTCACCTTAAGATGGGATGGTAAGGTTGAATTTAGGAATGACCAGGTGCTGGTCAGCTCATGCAGGATGCAAATTTTCAAATTCCCTTTCGACATTCAGAGCTGCAACCTGTCTTTCAAGTCTGTTGTATACTCTGGTGAGCCCGTAACCTGCTGTATTTAAACGTTTCTAGACATTTATCTAAAATGAATAACACACACCTTCTTTGTTGAGTTGATGAGAACCCTCAAAGTTTTACTTGTATTATTATTATCTTTTAATCTCAGATAAAGAACTAAAGTTTGATGTAGACCTCAATGTTACAAAGATCACACGATGGTCTCGTGAATTGATGCGGACCCAGTATGAGTGGCTGTTCATCAACATAAGTGCCGAAGAGAAAACTGTCAACAATTTTAGCTACAACCAAAGCATGATCGTTTACACTGTAAGTATTAAGTTTTAAGTATTTTACTGCTAACACCATTTTTTGTTTGTTTGTTTTTTCAACAAAATTTTATGTTGACTTTCTTATATTTCACTTGCTACTTTTACTGAAACCTGCAATAACAGATTATCCTTTTTTGGCCAGTTGCAATAAGCTGGAACAAGTTTCTGACCAACTCACAAATGTAAATCCAAAATTTAATCATATTTTGGCTCAATTTTTGGTGTCTGCTGTGCATCTACCCACCGAGAACTGAGAGACGACCAAAAAAAACAACACCAAAAAAGTTATAAGAGCTGTGAAACTGATAACACGAGAGTGTTTGGTCTACTGGAGACAATACTGCAGAAGATATGGGATGCACATACAAGGGATTAACCACCAAAAGAATTTTGTTTAATGAAAGGAATAGAGATGTTGGTTCTGACAGAGTGACACAGAAACATGGTACCAAGCTAAGATAATAATAAATAAACTTACAGGAAATCAAGAATTCCCGCGTGTTGCCAGTGGAGAGGGAGCCAGCAAACTACCATGATGGTAGTCTTATATAACCTGGAGACAATGACCACTGGCTCCTTGTTCCTTGATGACCTCTAGCTCCATCCACCCAGGAACCTGTAATGCTGAAATGCAGCACAGCAACAACACACAAGCCCTGGCAGATGCCCTGGGCCATTATAACCAGTTATAACCATTATAACCCCCCCCCCCCCCCCCCCCCCCCCCCCCCCCCNCCCCCCCCCCCCCCCACCAAACAAAAATCACCCCCCTGGGACACTTTCTAGAAAATGGACATTTTTGTCCATTTGAAGGGTCATGGATGGGATAAAAATGCATTACAGGGTCAAATAATGGATTTTCGCGCTGAAAGTTGGGATTTTGAAATTTCACCCAGAATGACACTCCCATGCAAAAAATCCACCCCCCTGTGACCTTTTGTTGGACACTACAAAAGTTTTTAGAAAATGGACATTTTTGTCCACTTGAAGGGTCATCGATGTAACTTTTTTGAAGGGGAACACAAGGGTTAAAGCCAAGAAAATCTGCACCTTCAGGAAATAATTCTCTATAGGTTCATCAGGTGACACTACTCACAAGACCACATTGTTTTTTCATATTTTTTTGTTGCTACTACATAGTTTCCTTTGGCACAAATATTTGAGTAAGGATACCAACCTCCTAACTCTTAAAAACATTTCATAGATCAAAATGAGGAGGCGGTCTGTCCTCTACATCATCAATTTCATACTACCCGTCCTGTTCTTCTTCTGTCTGGACTTGGCCTCCTTCCTGATGTCGGACACCGGAGGCGAGAAGGTTGGCTTCAAGGTCACTGTGCTGCTTGCTGTTACTGTGATGCAGCTTATTCTCAATGACATTCTGCCGTCCTCTTCAGACAGGATTCCACTTATAGGTAAAGAAGCTCATTACTCTCTTGGACTGTACTTCATATGAGCAGGAAAATTACATATACTGACTTGATGTGTGGTTGTTTGTCCAAATATCATGATACGGCTTTGTGTCTTTAGCGGTCTACTGCATTGGGATGTTTGGTTTGATGCTTCTGAGCCTCTTGGAGACGATTTTGATGATGTATCTGGTGGAGAAAGACTCTGCATCCCAAGACAATGATGCCGATGAAGACCAAAGCCTGAGTGAGGACTGTGGAGACAAACAGGGCAAAGACAATTGTGATGGAGGTGAGATTATAATTCTACAAACCTCTGGATCTTAACTCAACCTACTATTGTTATTCAGTTTTCTATTGCTACGATTATATTTTACTGATTTCATCACAGACACATTTACAACTGATAATACATCATTTTGAATACGCTACAACTTTCTCTGTGTCGATCATATCCTTTCAGAGGTGAAGAAATGGAATCACTGTGCCTGTGTCTGTGATGTGTCTGCTGACGAACCTCCATCTGAACTGCTGTCAGTGGCCAAAGAGGTTAGGCTCCGGTTGCACTTTAAAGGTTGAAGGAATACTACACCAAAATAAATGACCATATGTACTTCAGTTCCCCACTTTGTGTTACGCTGAATTTGTGAAGAAAGCTTTTCTTTTCTTGTATGCTCCCTCAGTGAATGAAGAATCCATAGGTAGAGAAAAGTCTTGCTGTATTGCAGTAAAAGGGGGCCGTGTTTAACAACAGCAAAACTATATGAAAACATCAGTTTACAAACTCTCAAACAATTTGTGCAATAAAATACAAGGCCTAGTCCACATGCACATGGGTATATCTGCACAAGGAGTGCAAGGAGTGAATGGCAGGGTGAGAGAAAAACTTACAGCCTGAGTATGAAAGGTATTGTCATCCTGACTGAACTTTCACTAGAGCTTGCATCATCATTTAGTTTCTTATATTAGCTTATTTGTTGTGAGATTTGTGCTTCAAGAGGATTTTGATGTTTCTTATGTCCTGTCATGTTTCTTGTTTCGTTCATTAGTTTATGTTTGTGTATTGTTTTATTTTGTAGTCACTCTCATCATGTGTCATATTTGTTTTACTTCCTGTCTTTGTGTTTTTTTTTACCTTGACTCTCATAAACCTTCCTTCCCTAGTGTGATCCATTTTCTCTATGCCAGTTTGTCTTCCTACCTCAGTGAAAACATTTCAGCCTGTTTACTTGTGTTTTCCTCATTTTTGTTGTTGCTGGTGTTTGGATTTTGCCTGTGTCTTCTGACCTTGTTTTTGTCATCTCCCTTTTGGATTAGTTTGCTTTATCTCTGCTTGACCTCCCATGTCCCTTAATCCTTCTGGTGAGTAAAGACTGCGACTTTTTCTATTTTTTGTGTCCATTGCGATGACATTAAAAAGGTTGGTTTATCCAAGAATGTCACATGTAGCAGCTTCCAATCTTATACATTCCATGATCTTGTCAAGGGGATACTTTGCATATTTTCAGCCAGCTTTGTATTTCTAAAACTGAGATGAATTAGTAAAACTAGGCAGCCCTGTTCAGATACTAAGATTGTGTTACTGTACTGTTTAAAGAACAGCAACACATAGGATTCGTTTTTTTTTTTTTTTTTTTAGCTTGGCGCCACCTAGCGTCAGCGTCGGCCCCACATTCAATTTGTTCGTCGCAACGAACAAATTGAATGTGGGGATCAGAGATAATCAGTAAAATGTAGGCTGTAAAGCCACCAGTATACCTCTATGTATATGTAGAGTAAGAAGGTGTGTGGACACTATACTAAATAACTGAGTAAAGAGACTGAGCAACAAAAATCAGATTCATCTGAAGAAAAAGGGCCGTAGAATGGCAACGAGGATGTCAGCTGACCAACACTCGCTACCCGGTCCCTGGTTGCGGCGATTTGCGATGCTGGCCAGCTAGGAATGAACTAGCAGCCAGTACAGCACAGTCCTCTCTTGTCTAGCTAACATTTAGCCGTGTTACTTACTGATCCATTAGAAAGAAAGCTAGCTGGATATCGGTGTTGAAGCCTCTTTGGTCACGGAGCTCCCTCCATCTCTTGAACACCTGACTGAGGTTAACTCTTGTTTTTCCTCTTCTTTTATCACTCTCCTTTTTGCTCTTCTTTGCCTCCTCAGACAGAGGAGCTCGTTTTCTTTCGCTAGGCCGTTTTTCACTTTTCTCCAAACTGTGTCCTTCTGCCATTGTGCTCGTGACTCAACTATCTCATGCCCAGCTCCTCATAAGGACCAGCTTCAGTCCCTGATTGGCTGACCGACCAGTTTCGCAATACATGACGCGTTTCCTGCCGTAAAGTAGATTCTTATTACAAAGATTGCAAAGCCATTAAGTAACCTATGTAAACGCTGATAGTCTGATTTTGCTGTGGCCACTACCCTGTGCAACCCACATTATTTTCATAATGATATATTTAGGAAAATATGCTATCTGTTGCCTTTTTAATTCTCCCTTAATATGTTTTCAGAAATATATTTCAGTTTACAGTTTATCTGTAATTTGAGGTCGTCTGTTACCAGCCAGCTGCCATTTTGTTTCCTGTTTCACAACAGCCAATTTCACTGTGTAGCACAGTGCATTTTGGTAGCTGTAGGTGTTGTGGCCCTCTTGAGCAAGAGCAAATGTCACAGTCCTTTCTCTCTATGTTCTGTGGCACTAAGTTCAAAAGTGTCCATGCCTGTCTACTGCATAGATAGCCCAGTTTTATAAGAATATTTCTTTAATTACCAATCCTCTTAATTATGTCTGCAGGGTAGCAGCAGCCAACTGATGGAGTGCAGTGTCTTGAAGAAGGTCTCGGATGAGCTGACAGCAGTGCAGAAAACATTGACTCTGCTCCTCAACAGCAGGAAGGAAGAAGGGAAGCTTGGCTACTGGACCAGAGTGACTAAAACCATCAACAAAGTTTTCTTCATTTTCTACATCACATCAGCAAGTGTGTTTTTAATTATTATCTTTTCAATATGGGCGAATGAAGATTACAAGTAGTGCTCAAGTTTAAAAACACAATTTGGTCATTTTTCATGGATGCTAACACAACTGTACTCTGTGTTCACGCCTGTAGTTCACTTTCACTGGTCTGGGCCAAAGAAAACAATGACCTATTGTTGCTCAAACAAACCGTTATGACTAGTCTTCATCACAAAGTCTCTGCAATGAAATGATTCACATTACTATTAATAATCAATGTTGGCTTACACTACGCAGACACTGTGCTTTGTTATTTATTTTTGACACAGAGAGCAGTCCCACTGAACATATTAAGGCTCATTTATAGTCCCTTTACGTACGAAAATGTATACGTCCGTTTCAAACGATGTTACCGTCACTGCCCACATACTTCCATGCGTCCTTTACATTGGCATGGATGTTAACCGATACATTCACCAGGAGGCAGCCCAGCATCAAAAGTTGATGACAACAACAAACTCAAAAACAAACATGGCGACTGTGGAGGAGATATTGATAATGTACCTCTTGCATAAAAGACAAAAACAGAGGCAGTGTTGTAGGAGGCGGTGGTTGGTGAGGCCGTTAAATACATCGCGACTGGAGGACGGAGAATTCTTTTCTCTAGTACTGCCAATGAGAGAAATTGAATTGTTATTTCTTCTTCATGTCTCACTAGAGCTATGTATCAGGTAGTGACGGCAACACTGCCCCCACGGTTCCCAGTGGTACTGCTCTGTTTGGCCCGTATCCGTAAGCTTTATGGAAACGTGCAGAAATACGGACGAAATGAACACAGAGCACGGACAGAAGGCTCCGTCCGGATCCGGATCCGGATCCGTATTTAACGTTGAGCATAAATGAACCCTTAGCAGAGCTCCCACTCACTTTGTCCAGTGACAATTCTAATGAAGTCTTTTAAACAAGATGACCACATCCTCAACAATATTGACCGAAAAAAAAAAAAAGAGAGAGAGAGAGAGAAATGTAACATCACTTTGTGTGATTGTACTATGAACAAAATTTGGTCTGTTTTGAATTTAAGTTAGGGCTAGGGGATATTTTTAACCAGATACATCAATATCGTTGTTGGGATAATATTGTAGGGTTGACTTTTACTACATTCTCAAAATACATACAGGCAAATAAGAGGCAAAGAAACATTATTCTATTTCACTTACAATATTACAATAGAGAATAAGACGATATCTCTTCTCATATCACGATATTGATATTTAATCAATATATTACCCAGCTGTAACTGAAATTCTGATTTATGTAGTCTTTCAGTAGTTCTGCATGTTTTACACACTGCTACACATCTAACACATATACTCTGTATTAACCTTTGACACCAGTGTGGTGGTGGTGTTATACAGTTATAGTAATATACATGCCTGTGATATGTAACATGCACAATTATACTGTTCAGTGAGTCGATCAAATACATAGTAAAATATGCTAAAATTTAAATGTAGCTCTTTAAAAATCAAGTTCTCTTCTGTGAAAATGTAATGTGGTACGGTGTCTACTGTTAGGTGTTTTTTGGTTTTGTTTCTTGCTGATACATTATACTAAGCATATAATATACTATATACCAAGTGTTAATTTTCTAAAGACCTGTAAATGTGTTTTTTCTTCTATTGTTTGAGTCATTTCATTTTGTCTCTAATGGGATTTTTCAAATCTACATCTGCATGTAAGCTACATTATATATTCACATGATAGAATAAAAGACCTGTCATCTGTAAACATGTATCTGACTTTTCATACTGCTGAAATAAACAATATAGACAAACTTTTTGTGTGTGTGTGTGTGTTTGTGTGTGTAGGACAGTCAGCAGCTTGTTTAAATTAATGCTGATTCTACAGATTGATGACAAAGTAAAAGCTGAATAAATGTGGAAACATATGAATACAGGCACTTGTATACAGGTTATGAGTCACAAAATTGTTTAGTGAGTATGATGACATACATGAATCATAGGCTGTGGTCTTCACAGCCACCAGATCCAAAAATGACTTCTGATGTTTAGATAGGCTTTTTAATATATATATTTATAATAGTGTGTAATATGCACAATCTTTATGCATCATCTTTGCTCTCACAGGTTGTCTAGGTTCTTGCAGAAAACTTGTAGGTCATTTTAATATCAAGTTGTATTAAATATATGTACAGCACTGGCTTTGAATGCATTTATCTGACTTTTTTATCACACAAATTCACAATTAAATTATCTTTTTTTCCCCTTGTAAAACACAGACAGAAGCACAAACACACATATTTTTGTTTTTGTCAGTTGTGGGGACCAATGTATTTTTGGTCATTTGTGAGGACCACAAACACAACAAGGACGAACAATTGAATTTCACTGTGTCAGTTCACGGTGTGCTTGGCAGTGAATATTATTGTCATCCTTTTTTATCTTATCTCTGTGTGATCATTAAGTGGTGTGGAGCTGTGGTGTTGTTGAAGGTCAAGTCATCTGCCAGATGGTATTCTGGGAACGTGGTGCACTTTACTCCCTTTACAACAGAACCAGAGATGATCAGAGGGGGGTGCTGGTCGGGTTTAGTCCTCCTGAAGTCAATAATCATCTCTTTTGTCAGTGTTGAGAATGAGGTTGTAGGATTTGCACTAGGTTGCCAGCTGCTCCACCTATTTCCTGCACTCTGACTCATCTCCATTGCTGATGAGGCCCAGGACTGATGTATCATCAGCAAACTTTATGATGTGGTTTAAGTGTACTTTGCAGAACAGTTGTGAGTAAGCAGCGTGAACAGCATTGGGCTCTGTACACACCCCATAAGGAACTTTTGCTCACTGTGATGGTTGATGATGTCTTGCTGCCAATTTTGCCATCTCTGTGTGAGAAAGTCCAGGATCCAATTGCAGGTGCCAGTGTCTATGATTAGCAGCTGCAATTTGATCACCAACTGTTGTGGCAAGATTATATTGAATGCTGAACTGAGGTCGATGAGTAGAATCCCGGCATAGGTTTCTTAGCCTCCAGATGAGTCAAGGTGAGGTGGAGCAGGGTTGATATGGCATCCTCCATAGACCGGTTTTCCCTATAGGCAAACTGCAGAGGGTCTAAGCTGACAGGGAGTCGTGATTTCATGTGCTCCATGACAAGTTGCTCAAAGCACTGTGCAACATTGACATGCACAGACTGGCCATCCGGAACTTAGGGTATTTTCCCAGTAGGCTGATTTTGTGAGGGCCACTCTTTAGTGCCAACCCTGGCATTATATACCCTGTGTTAACACGTTATTTGAAACCCAGACATAGTTACATGTGTATCCTTCCACTAGCTGTGCTACGTTGATTGCTAGCTCTCCCCGTCAGCTCAGTCTTGGCTGTCTAAATGCATTTACCATAAGTGTCAGTACATAGATGCACTATATACTGACACTTATGGTAAATGGATGGGGGCAAAAATAGATACAGCATTGTATGGCAATGTTTTGTGTGGCAATATCGTATCATCACACAGTGGCAAGTATAGATTTTTTTATTATACAAATTATTGATATTATACAAAATAGATAATCTAGAATAATGTAATCAATTGCTTTTTCCATCCACTAGATACATTTTGCTGCAAAAAATAAAATAAGATAAATAACTGAAGTGACATGAACAGAGTCTTGTTAGATAAAACAGATGGTGACAAAGTTTTCCTTTGGGGACATCATTTACAGTTGAAAAAAGGTAATAAATGATATTATATATTATCATATTACCCAGCACATCCCAACATATTTAAAACCGCAATAATATCATATCGTGACCTAAGTTGACCTAGTTGTTTTTAAAATGTGCCCTGTTCATGACTTGGTGCCTGTGTTGACCCCTGATAAGACAAGAAAAGAAAAGAGATGGATAACCAGTTACACCTGAAAATAGTGTTATACTTATTGTAAATAAATGTAAATTGTAGTTTGTTAATTTCTGCATGACATAAGACTCCTTTCAGACACAGCTCCTACACTGAACCACCTAACTTGGGAAACTCAACAGCCACAACAATGGAAGCAGGAAACTTGTGGTTTGCTGGCAGAATTGATTTGCCTGCAGGCGGCCAAGTGTCGAGGGTGTTGGCAGTTCCTGAAAGTTTTGTTGCATTAGGCTTTATTTCCATCATTAGACTAATGAGATTGAAAAAAAAACTGGGATGGACATTAAATTTGCCCAGCCCTCTTCAGTACAAGGCAGTGATTTTATTACTGCATCGAACATTTCCAGAAAACACAGAGAAGACAGGGACGCTCATTAACTGTGCAGACCTCTCACAGTCATGATGCTTGCAGGTTTCCTCTTTCTGCTCCTCTTCATAGGTAAGCTGGAACAATTCTGTATGATGCATGCAGCTTAGACATTTCTGTTGTCACCCCAATATGATGGAGGTGAATGGAGCTTTGTTATACAGCATAAAATTTTTTAACTAGAAATAATTATACTCCAAGAAATACCTCTTTCCAGTTCCAGAAGCTCGCAGTGTGATATGTGAATAATTTAAAAAAAAACAGGGTGACTGTTGTTGTAAAGACATGTTGCTGTTCATTTTTTCTATCGTCATTTTTTGTCATTAATCATGCTGTGTATGAGGGCAGGAGATGTGTGTTCATGAAAATAATATTAAATCTAAAGAGCTGTTTATTCTTTTGTTTTAGAGGGAAGTACCTCCAATTACTCAGAGCACACAGAGCTTGATTATCTTAATCATCAGAAGTCAAACCAGAGCTCTGAGGAGAGTAAGTACAGGAAGTAACCATTCCAAATATGCACAGTAATTATTAGTATGAATATTATTCCTGTAGACATTATTGTGGAATCTCAAAAAACAGTTAAAACCCACCAGAGCTTACTAAGAAAACATACATATTTAATACATTTTGTTTACGGACTTGTATACCGAGAAAACTTACTCCTAACGGTTTTAACAAAACTGTAAACTGCTGCATTGAATCAGGATAAGACCTGTATACTCTTTTCTGTCAGGTGAAAAGACCTCCATTAACTCATATGATTATTACGACTATTCGGACAACAACAAAGGTATGTACATGTAAAAAACAATCCAAAAGTGTACAGTAATTGTTTGTGTTAATATTTATTCCTGTAGCCTTAATTATGCAAGTCTTGAAACTTAAGACACTTTTTTGATTTTCTTAAGCAGTTTTTGTGTGTAAAAGTAAACTAAAAGATATGTTACTACAGACAAACAGAAAAAGTATTCACACAAGTTTGTTGTGAATGTTTGCGGGTTAGCCTGGGCTAATGTTAAATGCATTAGGATGATGTGTGGCAGATAGATCTCAAATAGAGAGCCCTGTGTAAACTGAAATGACTGTAAAAACGCTCACATTTAGAAATCATTAGTGGACTAATAATATAAAGTCCCGCAATCCTGCCAACACCCGACTCATAATGGCCTTTCAGTGACCACAAACACCGGATATTACTGAAGACATTTGTGAGCTGGTGTTTTCAGATTTTGGTAATAAATTCAGAATAAAGGGGAGCCTGGCCTTTTGAGAATAAAGTCTTTGATTGAGGATGTTCCTTGATGTCTCTGCTGTAGATGCTGAGGTTATCTGCAGTTATGAGGATGTTTTGAGACAGCTGAACCTGTCCAAAAAGATGGAGCTGTACACCATGGCCCGACCTGTAAGAGATTACAAAACAACCACACGGGTACACCTCCAAATGTCTATCTATGGCATTCTGGATGTGGTAAGTTTCAAATTACGCTTTGAATTTTCCATCAATTTGTTCTTTTTTTGGTAAACCTTCATTTGAGGATTTTCAATAGTAAAAAAAAACACTCAGTACATCATCTTAACAACTCAGTCACAAATATCTTCACAGTCCGCAGACTTCAACATTACTAGTAAAATGAAATACATATACACAGCGATAGAGGGTACACTGTTACACTGTCAGTTTATTACAATTCACTAAGCTTGAGATACTCGAGGACAGGGCTCCAAATTCTCACAAATATTTGAATCTCATTCTGATAAGAGAACCTTTCTAAATACGATACCTTCATCAGCTCTCTTATCCATGTATCATATGTTGGTGCGCAGTCTGACTTCCACATAAGTAGAATAATAGAATGTAGTTTCCTTGCCACAACCAAACCACATGAAACTGCCTGGGTTTCAGACTTGTCTACCAAAGGTAACATACTCATGGCACCTAGGACAGATTACGTTTCCCATTCTTTTCAAAGGCATTAGAGAAACATTCAAATACACTCTTCCTAAATTAACAATTTTCAGCCTGTCCAAAAAGAATGTGTTAACGTCCCATCTGCCTCTTTACACCTACAACAGAGGGGGGAAACATCAGGGAAAATCTTTAGTGTAGAAAAGCGATACACTGTTTTAAATTGTATCAGATTGTGTCTAGAGTTAACTGAACATTTGTGCACATTTTCAAGACTCTCCTACCAAATCTCATTGTCCATCTCTTCACCCAACTCACTCTCCCAATTCTGCTTAAGTGCATTTGTGCTGACATCACTATGCCTTCATATAATGTGGTAGGGGATTTATGCTCTCTGCAACTGCTCAAACAACATGGAGTGCCCACCAAGGTATAGAACCCCTATGTCTTTGATACCCTGAAGAGTCCAGTCTGAGAAAACTTAATCATTTAAGCCAGGGACAAACACATGATTTTTTCATATTGGACTACAGTAGTATTTGGTGCTTTATGTTCATTCATTCATTTTCTGTAACCACCTATCCTCTGACACATAGAGACAGACAACCATTCACACTCACATTCACACCTACAGAAAATTTAGAGCCACCAATTAACCTGCATGTCTTTGGACTGTGGGAGGAAGACGGAGTAATTTGTAATTTGATTTGCTCTCAGATTTTAAGAGTATACCTAATGGCAAAACTACTATTTTAAAGTAACTTGTTTGTTTTGGTGGGGCTGTTAAGAAGGGCAAGAAGAGAGGTCTTACAAGGAGCATGCTCTAGTGATAGCCAAACTGGGTAGCCACTTGAGTCAGCTGCTGGGCCCTTTTTACACCATGATATGATGTTTTAGTGAGCCACCCAGTAGTAAACTTTAAAGTTTGGCAGGCCTATAGATGATGTTTTTCTTCTTAATGATGATGACTATTTCTGCCTCTCGCGCCAAAAAAAATTAAAATCAAACACTCAATTTCCAGAATTCTGGGCCATTTTCTGCATCAATTCATGGTCTGTAAGTCCTCTACTACCTATATGTTTTTCCTAGGGGGACAAATGTACATGTTCTAAATATTCAGATATTCAAAAGGATGTGTCCCGTGCATCCCACCCAAAATCTACACCTGTGCTTACATCTGACATGTATTAACCAAAGAGTTCTTTGCTTCTTCAAAGTGTTACATGAACTCTAATATCTGAGAACTTGTATTTTGACTGAAAGCAACCACAAGGAAATTTTTCTGTGTCTTTTGTGAACTCATTTTGTGTTGATTTTGGCAGCCCCTTCCATAGGAAAGGAAAATTCAAAATAAGAGCTCTTCTTTGTCCAGCATTTTTCTCCTAAACATAACTGAGCTCAATATTACATCAAAATGACATGTCAACCATTTTTTAATACTTCATTAACTCAGCTCCTGTGAAACAGGCTTCCTCTTGTCTCAGCCCAATCCTGAGCTATTTAAAGGCTATTTTCTCTCTCACACTTCTCTGCACACGAGATAACAGTAAGATCCAAATGAAAACTTGATTGGCTTATAACTGAGCCTGCACAATTTCAGAATTTTATCTCAGTGATCAAATTCAAGTCTCAACTCTGCGTTTTATCTGTCCCAAGAGTTGAGAAACCTCTGAGAAGCACAGCAAAAGAACTCCTGCTGATTTATTCCTTTTCTCCTCATTTCTCCTTAATCACGATTTAGGAGAAACAGATCAGAATTTAGTAATCTCCAAGTAAGGAGCTGATTTATTTTGTGCCCATGAGCACCACCACCTCGTGCACCACCTCGTGTTGTTTTGGAAGTGAGTGAACGAAAATCACAACTTATTTTTAAAACTGTTTTTATTGTTTAAATGCAGCTGTTTGTAGGAAGAGTTTGTGACAATGGTGAAACAAAGTTAACTTCTATTCACCATCACCACCAGCCACCAACCACCGGCCACCAACAACGTACCAGCAATGTATTTCATAAATAATATCTATATTTACATACCTGTCCAGGAGCTAAAAAGTCAGATTCTGGATGAGTTTTTAATCCTTTCAAATCCTGCAGTTCTCTCCATCTTTTGAATGTCCGACAAAGGTTGATTCATGTTTTCACCAGCGCTCTGTCGCTATCCCTTTAATCTTTTTTTTCCCAGTCAGTATCAGAAATAACCACAAAATAAAATGTAAAAAATGTAAACATAGGCTCTTCCAGTCTGCATGCCGGAAATTGTTTTGTCTGATTTGAAAGGCATTAAGAAAAACTATAAAAAAAGAGACCTCTGAGTCCTCTTACTCGTGGTCTTACGTAGATCATATAGCAGCATCAGTATTGAACTGAAACCGTTTCATGGTTTAAAAAGACCTTGTAGCCACTTTAAAACCAGATAGTACTTGTTTTTGACAGTTCCCCTGTGTGTAAAGTCAATATGTTGTATGTAACTGTGCTACTAGAAAGATTTTCACAGATATTATTTCTTTGCCTACAGAGAGAGAAAGACCAGGCTTTCGTTCCTTACGTTTGGATTTATATGGTGAGGTTTTTTTTTCTTCTTTTTTTAAATCATTCTCACCTGTTCCTCATTAGTAGAAAATTAAATTGTTTCCTTAAATTTGCATCTTTCAGTTATTTCTATCTATTTCCCTGCTTCTTACTCACGTCCTGATCTTTTCACTCCCTTGTTTTCCTTTGTAGGGCTGGAAAAATGATCAGCTTGGTTGGCATCCACCTAACTTTTGTGGACTCGAACAAGTAGTAGTACCTACTGAAGTATTGTGGAGGCCAGATCTAACTATTGAAGAGATGTAAGTTGGAATGTATATGCATGTTTTCGCATTCACAAATTCACATACACTCACAACAGTAGAGCATCATGTTAGAGTGGCAGGAAGCAAGAAAGACACACATTGGGAATATGACAAGTTTATGGACCAGACCAGTAGAGGGCTGGAAGCTGCTCCCAGACACCATTTGTTTAGCATATCTGCAGTGCCCAAATGTGTATTTTTAGTCACTACACTTACAGTGCAATAAATGTTTTAGCCAGGCAAGCGGCATAGCTCTATGGATGGCAACGGCACATGGGAGAAATTTGCCTAGAGGGCAGTTTTATTTCAGGCCAAACCCCATTTTTTTTCCTAACCATAACCAAGAAATTGCTTTCTGGCAGAAAGCCCCAAGCTTGTCCCAGCAGCATGGTAATGTCAGTCTGCCAGTTGGTCATTCCACTACTTTGGTCCAGACTGAAATATCTCAAATACTTTTTGATGGGTTACCATAAAATTTGTTTCATATCTTCATGGTCCCTAGAGGATTAATCCTACTGACTTTGGTGATCCCCTGACTCTTCCTGTGGCACCACTATGAGGTTGTCTTTGAGGTTTTAAGTGTAATGTCTTGACAACTGTTGCATGGATTGAATTGGTTGTGACATTCATGTTCCCCTCAGGATGAATTATAATCACTTTGCTCATCTCATGACTTTTCATCGAGCTCCTTCATGAGGTCAAGTTTTTTATTTGTCCAATACTTTGGATTTTGACCAAATACCTGCAAAACTAAGGATGTACCTATCAGGAGAGAAGTTGGTCCTTGGGGGGCGTTGACCCACGGAGAAGGTCATTGCCAATATCCAAGTATTCCAAAGGCACCTTAGAGAGGTTGGGCCCCGACAGGTCACTTGGTCCCATTCGGCTCCCTTCCTTAAATACATACATACATGCAAACTAGACAGAAGCATATCCACCTTATTCCAAGTCCCCATGATACCTTGTGTGAATTATGGGCGTGACTTCTAGCACTGAACCAGAACCAGCGTTTTCCAGTGGTACTGGTACGCTATTCCTCTTCTCTAGAACGAAACAAAATTGTGCCCACCTCCAGTCACCTATCCCAGTACAGTTACAGTAACAGATCATTGTGTTGGTTAAACAGATAAGGATACAGATAATGACGTCTTTGTACACCTAGTCGATCTGCCTGCGGCAGGTGCGTGATACAGGTTGTTGCTCTTCTGATAGTGGTTGGAGGTATGGGGGTAGCCTAATCATGTGCTGCACATGATCCTGTTTAAAGCTGGAGAGGTAGAGAATGTCATCCACACAGACAAAAACACAAGTGTTAAGTGGCTCTCTGAAGATGTTATTAGCCAGAGGGCATAACAAGGTACTTATAGTGTCCACAAGGTGTGTTGAGGGATGTCTTCCATTCATCCCCCTCTCTGATACAAAACAAGTGAAAAGTGTTTCAATGGTCATTTGGAAAAGATGATAGCCCAGAAGTTCAAACACAGGAGATGAGTGGAAGAATGACCATGATGTGTTTGAGGCCTTGATAGTCGATACAGGGCCAGACTTTATACTTCTTCTCCACAAAGAATAAGCCTACTCTAACGAAGGGATAGGGAGGGTCAAATGATGCTGGCAGCTGCCACCTCATTGATTTATTTCTCCATAGCCTAGATTTCGGAGGCAGATATTGTGAAAAGTCAGCCTTTGGGGGGAGTTGACTGAGAAGAGAGGGAGAAGGTCATTGCCATAGTCGTACAGACAATGGGGAGGCAGTAAGGAGGCCAGAGCCTTGTTTAACACCTCCTTGATCTCCAGGTATTCTTGAGGCACTTTAGAGAGGTAGGGGGACTCAGAGAGGACAGAATTATTAAGAGTAATATGTAGAGCAGATCTAAGAGAAACAGAATGGCAATGACTGCTCCACTGTAGACTTGCCATTGTAACTCAGTCAGCATGTGGTGTAAACCAGGGGTAATAAAAGTAACAGGTAGATTAGGAGCATTATTAAAATGACAAACAGGACTTGGTGATTATCTTACATGCCCAGATGGATGTGAACCATTCGAAGAGTTATTAAGCAGAGGAGTGGACCATCAAGTACACCGTCATTTATTAGGTGGGCAATCCCCAGGAGTCTTAGTTGATGAATACTTACACATTGTGGGATTGTTGAGAAGGGCACAGAGTTTAGGATGAAAGGGTATTTCTGGATCAATGGTACGGCCTATCAGAGCTTTTTGGATGACTGGTGAGCCTCCCCTTTTACTGGGCAGAATGAGTACTCAAGTTTTTGTCTTCGTCTTCATGTCAAAACACAGCTCTTCTTCTGACAGTTAAGCTTCCAGCTTTTCAAACAACAAAGCATTTCAGCTGCCAGAAATCATGCATGTTCTACAGGAAGTGCATTTTCCAGAGGTTTGTATTTAACATGTACTGGTATTTACTGTGTAATTTAATCAAAGGTCCTTCCTAAGTATAAATTTGTCAACCTCTTATTCCCTATACTATAACTTCTCCGTGACCTATGGGTAGATACCCAGCAGTTGCAGTAATTCATTAACACGAGAACATGCAGAAATGTGTCATACCATGCGGATAGTGTTTACTATATTGAAAGACACAGTGGTAGATTAGAGGGAAAATAAAGAGTTGGATAATGTTGACCTTTGTTTTATGGTATAACAGTCAGTATGCTTTTTGATATTTAGTGTGAAGCATAATAAAGCAAATTGCCATCATGGGTGTGTTTGTTTTCATACAGGACAGAGAAAGACAAGGCCCCGCCAACTCCTTTTCTCACCATAACATGGGATGGTCGTGTGGAATATAGGAATGACCAGGTGCTGGTCAGCACGTGCAGGATGCAAGTTTACAAATTTCCTTTCGACGTTCAGAGCTGCAGCCTCTCTTTCAAGTCTGTCGTATACTCTGGTGAGCCCGTAACCTGCTTTGTTTAAAAGTTTCTAGAGCAAGAGCAAAAGTTTCTCAACATTCACCTAAAATGTGTATAGTTTGTGTTGGAATAAATATGAGTGCTGTAATCACTCACATATTACTCATACCATATAGTTTATTGTCATATGAACACACACCAGCACATACACTCCGTTGTTGTCCTGATAAGAAATCTCAAAGTTTTTTTTTTTATTTTCCACCTCAGATAAAGAACTAAAGTTTGAAGCCATCCTTGATGCTTCAAAAATCACAGACTGGTCTCGTGAAGTGATGCGGACTCAGTATGAGTGGCTGTTCATCAACATGACTGTCAAAGAGAAAACTGTCAACAATTTTAGCTACAACCAAAGCATGATCGTTTACACTGTAAGTATTAAGTAGATTTTACTGCTAACGTTTATTTCTTCCAGCGAAAATCTACAGGTAGACGTTCTATCCTTCCATTTGCTACTTTTACTTAAACCTGCGAACTATACTCAGACCACCTCCCAAGGAGGTCTGAGTGATGTTGTCACATTAGTACTTGATGCTTTGTTATGTAGTATATCAATTATAGCCGCTGTAAGTAAATAATTTGAAGGGTTCCTCAACAACTGCAGATGTAAGGTGTGTTTTGTTGTTGTTGTTGTTGTTGTTGTTGTTGTTTTTGTTGTAACCTGGGTACCTAATAAGCCCTGTTTCCACCAAACACTTTCAGTGTGGTACCTTTGGAACCAACAGTAACCCTTCAGACATGGCACCTAGACCCTAGTGTTTCCACTGCAAACAGTACTCTTAAATTTGGGCAGGGTTGTTGTCACTCACTGCTCCGTCCAGCACTCACTGTATTTCCTAATTACCGGTGACACAGATGGAAGTCTGCACCTCCTTTTTCATCCACAGAGCGAGGCTGCACGCCGACATTTTCAGAACAGATAAAACAGGCTGCAGTGAGAGTCTCTCTCCATGGGATATTTAAAAATAGCAGGTTTGTGCATTTAGTCCTTCTCAGGCAAGCTCAGGGGTTTAGTGTTGCTGGAGCCCACAGGAACAATGCTCTGCGATGCTTTTTTTTTTCTCTGAGTGAGGATTAGAATAAATACAGTTCACATAATCCTTCAACCTAAATATATATAAACACCTGGAACCATTTTTTTCTCCATTAAAGTTTTTTTGGGGGGAGTTTTTCCTGATCCGCTGTGAGGGTCCAAAGGACAGAGGGATGTCGTATGCTGTAAAGCCCTCTGAGGCAAATTGTGATTTGTGATATTGGGCTTTATAAATAAAATTGATTGATTGATTGATTGATTGATTGATTGATTGATTGATGGCCAAAGTTGTCACAGTGAAATTTAAGGTGGGTTGATTGATTCACATCATCACCTCATGCATTGAGTAACATTACAAGTTACTAGTGTTCCACTTTAAAAGTCGCCGGCAGTCGGCCCAGTGAATTAAGTTAAGCAAAACATCCTTTCATTTCATAGTTACAGTTTACTAATTAAACTCTCCACAGTATGAACAGTGGTTACATGAGCCTCAAAACCAGCCACAACTCAGCCCTGAGCAGAGTGACCGTCCTCTACTGACCAATCAGACTGCAGTGTTCACAGCTCCACCTTTTAGTACCAGATCTGTGTGCTAGGTACCCCAACAGAGGGGGGACCAAAAATGGGGATGGTACAGAATGGTTCCATTGGTACCATCTACAACTTTTCACAGTGGAAACAGAAAAAAAGCGTACTGAACTGAACTGATCCATACTGTTCTGTGGAAACAGGGCTTATGTTTCCTTTGACAAAAGTATATGAATTAGAAGATCAACCAACTGACTCTTAAAAAACCTTCATAGATCAAGATGAGGAGGCGGTCTGTCCTCTACATTGCCAACTTCTTGCTACCCATCCTGTTCTTCTTCTGTCTGGACTTGGCCTCCTTCCTCATCTCGGACACAGGGGGCGAGAAGCTCAGCTTCAAGGTCACTGTGCTGCTTGCTGTCACTGTGATGCAGCTTATTCTCAATGAAATTCTGCCTGCCTCTTCAGACAGGATTCCACTTATAGGTAAAGAAGCTCAGAGTCTTACTTTTATTAGACTGTTCTTCATATGAGCAGGAACAGCACAAATACTGAGTCAATGTGTCGTTGTTTGTCCACATTAATGATATGGCTTTCTCCCTTCAGCGGTCTACTGTATTGGGATGTTTGGTCTGATGCTGCTGAGCCTCCTGGAGACGATTTTGGTGATGTATCTGATAGAGAAAGACTCTACATCCCAAGACAACAAGGCAAATAATGTCCAAAGCTTGAGTGAGGACTGTGGAGGTAAATGGAGCAAAGACGACATACACAGCTGTGATGGAGGTGAGATTATAATTCTACAAACCTCTGGATCTTAACTCAACCTACCATTGTCATTCAGTTTTCTATTGCTCTGATTATATTTTACTGATTTTATTACAGACACATTTACAACTGATAATACATCATTTTGAATATGCTACAACTTTCTCTGTGTCGATCATATCCTTTCAGAGGTGAAGAAATGGAATCACTGTGCCTGTGTCTGTGATGTGTCTGCTGACGAACCTCCATCTGAACTGTTGTCTGTGGCCAAAGAGGTTAGGCTCAAATTGCATTTTAAAGGTTGAAGGAATACTTCACCAACAAAATGACCATGTGTATATCAATCACACAACCAAAGTTACGTTGAACTTGTAGAGAGCTTGTATGCCCCCGCAGTGAATGAAAAATCCAAAAGCAGAGAAAATTGGCCCATGAATTGAAAATTAATTGCCATAAAAGGGGGTCACGTTAAACAACAGCAAAATTATATCAAAACATCAGTTTACAGACTCTCAAACAATTCTTGCAGCATAATAAATGGCCTAGTACACACACAGATATTTTTTATTTATTCTAGAATAAATAAATAAAGCAAGTCCATACAAGCACTGTCGTAAAAAAATTGTCCAAATAATAAGAATATTATAAAATATAATAATATATAATAAAATACACAATATAATATGTGTTTTACTCGTCGCCATTGAAACGTTCAACTATTGCTGCTGTCATATTCATATATATTTCATACATTGATGATGAACAGTGCCTACTCATCTGTCCCTGCAGGTAAAAAGATATAAATCCCATGTAGGACCTTTTCTGTGACTACAAAATGCATTAATACATCTCTATATAACAGGCTACACGTGTTAAAAAACAGAAATGTTTGTAAATAAGGACTATAACTTAATAAACTGGGCATTTCTTACATTAGAAGACAATCTTTTGTTGTTTTTCAGCCAATTTTTTTAGCCTATTTCACTGCAGAGCCTGATAGGTCACAATAATATTATGTATTTTCAGTCCCTCTACAGCCTGTACTTAAACATATTTCTGTATCATGATGTGGTTTAATGTTATTTATGGCCGACACAATTTAAGTAACATTTTAATAGACCTAACTATCAATAACTATTTTACACATTCATAAGCTGTTTTGTTTTTTCGGCAGTTGAAAAACCCACGTCACGACCGTATTGCCATGAATTGTGTTATTAAATCAGTGAAGTCTGCTGAAGTCTGCACCCCAGGCAGACTCTCTGGAAGTCTGCAGAAAGTCTGTTTGAGGCCCCTTGTGGACTGGATGAATTGTAGTATTGAGCAACTCTCAGCAATCCCAAACTTCCCGGAAACATGCCGGCAAAGTCCTCGAGACTGCAAGTTCAGTGAAGTGTGGACATTTGGATTCAGCCTCAGTCTCAGTTATCCAGTCATGTGCTCAGTACTTATCAAGCACCTGTGTTTTAGCTAAAATCTTAATATTTAAAAAAAAACGTTGGTATACGAAAATACCATACTACTCTTCTTGTGCGTTTCATTGAGGAGAGTTCGAACATACTTGTTTGCCCAGGCATGCTTTTAGTCTGTGCATGAGACCATTTATACAGAAATGTTTTAAATATTTAGGTTTTAATGAAAATGCATGTGTTGGAAGTACTGCGAATATGACTGGATAAATGAGACTTGGACTACACTGCATGAGTTGGCCATTGTTAAACTCAGTCCCATTTGACTTCAGTGAATCAAGAATTTTCTGTGTCTTGTTTTGGATTCTTCGTCCATCGTGGAGGCATGCAGGAAAAATAAAGTTTCCCGCATGCCTCCCATTCAGTGTAACACAGGATGAGTAATTGATTTACAAATGGTCATTTGAGAGGTTAATTAAAGGTTTACATTTTAAAACAAAACCAACAAACACTTTTATTTTCAAGACAATGGACATAGAAATGTAGCAGCATGCAGTTTTACATAGTCCACAGTCTTGTTAATCTTGTTAATTGCCAGTCCATTAAATTACTTATGCAGGGAAGCAGCAGCCATCTCAAGGAGGAAGGCCAGGACTTGGAGAACATCTCAGATGAGCTGAGGGAGATGGTGAAAACACTGATTCAGCTCCTCGACAGCAGGAAGGAAGAAAACAAGCCCGGCTACTGGACCAGAGTGACTAAAATAATCAACAAAGTTTTCTTCATTTTCTATGCCACAGCTTCCAGTCTGTTTTTAATTGTTATCTTTTCAATATGGAACACTGCAGCAGATGAGTAGAGGTAATGTTTACAAACACGATTAAGGCCCTGATCACACCTACAAAACACACAGCGCACAGCACTGCCATTTTTTTGTTTAAAATTGGATGCCACTAGTAAAAAAAAAACGCCTGCTGTGCCTTTTCATTGTTGCCAGGCAACCACCCCATCACGTCATTACACTAACCTTCCTGAATAATCAGTCTACCGTTTTTTGATTGTTTGTTTTTCACAGTGATTAGTATCTAGTTTCTAAAATGTTGAGGCTGAGGTTACTTGCTGTAGCTCTGGTTGAGGGATCATGGGGAGTACCACCAGTTGGTCCAGGAGCTTCTCCTCCATGATGGACGTTTCCAGGCATATTTTAGGATGACTCGGGGGCAGTTTGACAACCTGCTGTCTATTGTTGGGCCGTATAGCTCTGGGTATCCAGTAACTGTTGTCACCAGTTTCTCCTCCATTGTTTACCAACTGTAAACTTGTCGTGATCACCACAGAAGGTCCACCTCTCAAATCATGCGATTGGACAATGGGACAAAAGATGATGAAAAAATAAATGACATGGTGCGCTTTTCCACTTTGAGTGGAAGTTTTTTCACCTCAAGGAGTTCAGAGTGCGCCGGAAAAAATGCCAGGTGCTTACAGTGATGTGAAATGTGAGGCATTATGCAACACAAAAACTGTGAGCAAAAGGCTTTATTTTCATTAAAAACAATGACAAAAAGGCGCCTCCAGCTGCTAAAACACTTTCTGCTTGATCAGTCATGATCAAGTCAATTTCCCATTGAACACTGACATTAACACATCTATAGTTAAGTTTGAAAACAGTGACAATAATAATAATAATAAATTTTATTTGTAACGCACAAGTCTCAAAATGCTACAGAAGGCAGTGCAGATATGCTATGCTAAGAGTGAGCTTTAGTAAAAAGGTAAGTCTTTAAGTTGCGTTTAAGTGTCCACAGTCTGTGGTGCTGTCAGGTGGTCAGGAAGAGCATTCCACAGTCTGGGAGCGGCCAAGCAGAAGACCCGGTCTCCCAAGAGTCTGGTCTTGGCTGGGTTGAGGAGGTTGGCATTGTGGCAGGTGCATAAGGAAGTCTGAGGAATGAGGAGTTCTTTAAGATAGAGTGGAGCATGTCCATGAATGCACTGATGTGTGAGGAGGGAGACCTTGTATTGAATTCTGAGTTCAACGGGCAGCCAGTGGAGTGATTTGAGGATGGGTGTGATATGGTTATGCTTGCGCGCCCTCATCAGGATACTAGCAGCACTGTTCTGGATGTATTGAAGCCTCTGGATGCTTTTACTAGGGATCCCGATGAGGAGTGCAATAGAGTAGTCCAGCCAGGTGGAGACAAAGGCGTGGACAAGCTTTTCAGTATCTGCCAGGTTGAGTGATGTACGGAGTTTTGCAATGTTCCTGAGGTGGTAAAAGGGATTCTTGCACAGGTGTTTGATGTGGGTCTCGAATGTAAGGTGGGTGTCCATTTTAACGCTGAGGTTAAGTAGACAGGGAGATGTTCTCACCGGGGTGTTCTCAACAAGGATGGCTTCAGTCTTGGAGCTGTTAAGTTATAAAAAGAAATTTGCTTCATCCACACCTTTATCTCCTCCAGGCAGGTAGTGAGTGAGGCAGATGGCAGGAGTGCAGAGGGGGTGGGATCTGTCCGCAGGTAGAGTTGTGTGTTGTCAGCATAACAATGGAATGATATGCCATGCCTGCTGATAACATGGCCGAGGGGAAGCGTATAGAGAGTGAAGAGGGTAGGACCCAGCACCAAGCCTTGAGGGACACCACAGGTGACACAGTGAACTTATGATATATACCTTGGATATAAATGGAAGGTTGGAGATGGGCCTGTAGTTGGAGAAAACATCAGAGTCAAGGGTGGGTTTTTTAAGAAGAGGTCTAATGACAGCACTTTTCAGGGCAGATGGATTGGACTGGCGTGAAGGGAGTGATTTATGACCTTGGTGATAAGGGGGCTGATGGCGGAGAGGTTGGCTTTCACCAGGGCTGTGGGGAGGGGGTCCAGGGCACAGGTGGATGGTTTCATTGACTTAATGATGTTCTCAACTTCCTGCTGTGTAGTGTCTGAGAAACAGCAGAGAGGTTGGGCAGTCCCAGGCTGTGGGTGGGCCGTCTGGGCAGGTGGGTCAGTAGAGCTGGAGAGGAGAGACCTGATGGAGTTAACTTTTTCCTGAAAAAAGAGATTAAGCTGTTGCACCGCTCCTCTGAGGCTTCAGAAGGGGGCAGTGCTTGTGGTTTGAGGAGATGATTTATGGTAGAGAACAATGACCCACTGTTGCTCAGTTTAGACCATCAAGGGTTCATTCTGACTTGTTGGACCCTACATGGACCCACAGGAAAATATTAAAGATAATTTGTTTTTGATGACTGAATGCTACAGTCCATGATCTTCATTACAAATCCTTTGCAATCACATTATTACTATTGTTATTTATTATTTTTTGTCCACATTTTTTTCAAACAAGATGACCACCTCTTGGATAATGTTGACCAAAAGAGAAAAAGGCAGCATTACTTTGTGCTCTACTATGAACACAAAGTGACCTTCTCTGAACTGAAGTTCAGACATACGTAGCGCTGCATGTTTTACACACTGCTGCACATCTAACACATATACTCTGTATGAGACTATGAGTCTGGTGGTGTTATAAATTTATAGTAATATATGCCTTTGATGTGTAATATGTACAATTATACTGTTCAGTGAGTTGATCAAATACATAATAAGATATGTTAAAATGTAAGTGTAGCACTTTTTAAATTAATAACATTGTCTACTGTTTTGAGTGTTTTTGTTGGATCCATTATATTAAGTATATATGTATGCTGTATACCAAGTGTTCATTTTCTAAAGACCTGTAAATGTGTTTTTTTCTTCTGCGATATGAGTCATTTTATTTTGTCTTTTATGGGTTCTTTCTGTATCTGCAGTTACGCCACACTCTGTATTCACATGATGGAATAATAGTCCTGTAATCTGTAAAAAGTATCAGACTTCATACCACTGAAATAAACAAGATAGGCATACTCTTTTGTTGTTTTTTCTTTGTATGCTTGTGTGTGCTGCTGAACCAGACACAGGAGAGCAGCTGAGCCTTGCAGCAAATTTTTCCCAGTGGCCACTCGTGGTGTAAAAGAAAAAAAAAAGTCTGTGTACACGTGTGTAAAACTGTTGATAGGACACCTCAAACTGCAAACATGGTCAATTATGAACCCTTCTGTTCTGACTTTTTGAGCCATGATGATTTTATATTTGTAAAACTTTCCTCGAGCCAAAAAAAGTGATTTAAAAATCTGTGATGTCATCACAATGTAAGGTCAATGAGCCGAGCAGGAAATCAGGGGCGGGGCCAGTGGAAGAAACACTACTGCACATATTCAGTTGGCCGGAAGTAAACTCGGAAGCTACAAAACTCTTTTGGCAAATGTGTCAGGCAAACAACTTCATTGGAATAAATAGGTGCCATCTTGGAGTCCGGTATCTAGTTATCATTAAAATCTACCTACTGAACTCAACCAGGGCACATTTGAGATGGGAATTTTTTTATGGGAGGGGCTTTTAATTCCTCTTGCACAAAACCTGCAAATACAGGAAATACTATCAAATTGTTTATCTAAACTAGTCTGAATGGGATATTACTTAAAAATATATATAAAAAAATATATAATTTAAGAATCATTCATTTGATCTAGCTCCTACAGTAAGCACATACGCCAACTTCAAGCACTGGTTCACTCTAGTAAAAGTTAAATAACTATTTCACTGCTGTAAAGATGGTCCTCTCATAAGACTACCCTGTCTATACAGTAGAGACATGCAGTTCTTTTCAAATTGGTGATACATGTCCCGAGAAAACAGAAAAAAAGGCTGTGGCATTTGATTTTTGCTCAAGAGGTAGAAAGCCTACAACTACCAGAATGCTGTGTGCAGCACCAGACCTTTTCTTTTTTCTTTTTTAATAAACTTTATTGGAAGTACCTGCGGCTATGCTATAAGCGACCCTCTACAATAATTTAAATTTGTCTGGGGTTTTTTCTTCTTGTTAATTGTTGTGAAGATTTGCACAATAATATATTGTGTACTTAAACTTAAGTGTATTGTATTGCACTAATATCATCCTCAACCAAATATATGATGCTCTTAACCCTCATTCTTATTCATTTA